TAAATATACAAGAGTTTCTATAGTGTGAGGGTTGCAACTGTGCACATCAGGATTCTTAATCACAGAATAATTGAATACTGGGCCTGATCCTGGGACAAAGAACCTGTCATCACTAAAGGTGGGTAATTAGAAATTTATATGTAATCTTAGATCAGGCAACACTTCCAAGGCCCACAGCAACCAGGTGTACCAGGGACAGCGCCACTGCCTGCTGTGTGCCTAGGACTGCCTGGCTGGGAGAGCACATGGGAGGCCTGTTGAGTCTTCTGCCAAAGTTCAAAATTCTGTCTTGCTCCCACAAAAGACAGGCACTCTCTAGGCTGCCAGGACGGTTCCTGGCCTCCTCAGCTTGGGGGGAGTGCCCCTGGCTGTTTGCACTCTCTCTGGCACAGGCAGCATCACTGTTGTGACCCCTGTTGGCATCTGACTAGCAACAACCCCAAACGGCTGAGCCTAGGAGCCTGCTAGCACTTCCCCCAGGCAGTGAAGTCTAGGGCCCAGTCCAGCTCAGAGCAGCTTCTGGAGGGAAATGGGAAAGGCTGCTGGAGCAGTATCACTGTAATGCTGCTATACTGGAATCCAGGGCAAACAGCCCAATGCTGGCACCACACCAGCTTGTACATGGTAGGGACATCTGATCAGCTTGACTCCCCTGACTCCCCCAGGCAGCGGGTGGCACATAGGCAAACAAAATGGTCACTCACACCTGGTCACAAAGCACAACAGGACACCAGTTAGAGGACCTGCCAAAGCAGCACGACATGCAGCACAAACTCCACACCAGATTTAGTCCAGCGTGAAAGCAGACAGTAAGAACTCAAGTAAGCGTGGACAATGGCCCTCTGCGTATAAGCCCTGTAGCTGCCCAAGACCACCTTTCAGCACCTCTTCGAAAGGCTGCTGGGTTCCCTTCTCCTCGGGGACATCTGGGCAAAGTTATCCAGACAAAGGGTCTTTTCACAAAGCCAAGAGCTAATGCAAACACAGACAGCACCACTAAAAAAAACTCATTTGCTTAATGTACCCAAGACAGCAGGGGCTGGAACCTAGGACCTTTGGATCTAAGTGTGAATTTCTGCTGTCTGAGCCCAGTAGCTCATGCCCAGTGGCAGCTCTGAGGTTTGGCTACAAGAGGGGGGACAGAACCACACTTTTTGAGCCTGGGTCATATTAAGATCAGTACATTTGCATGTCTCACACCAAACTAGTTGAGATGCTCTCGGCTGAGCTAGAAGAATAGGGCCCATTTCTCTGACTGCTCCGCCAGGCTCCCTCACAGTCCGGATACCAGCTGATCCATGCCATTTTTTGTCAGGAAATTTGAATGGTGGGCAAGACCTCAGGCTCCTCCCCCATCACAGATGGGGTTTAACACCCACATCCAGTGCACAGATAAGAAGCCATGGGCAGAAGAGCTTTGTTCCTGCCCCATTTCACAGAGGTGACGTCCACAGGGCCTAGGCAGGGTGGGTGCATTTCACCCCATGTGAACTGGTCTATGGAGCGCTCTATAGTAATCACTTATCAGCTTCCCGCCACTGGAAGGGTGACTATGCCCTAAATAATTACTAGTTAGGAAAATAACCCTCCAGATGAACACGGGCAATGTTTGCTAGATGCTTAATCAGATTAGGACCAAAGAGTAACAACTTTAACATGTTCTTAAATCAAATCAGGACTTAACCAAAGCTCTAACTATGAACAAACCGATTAGATTTGTGTGTGCCCAGCAGGAGATTAATCTATTTTATACCTGCAGAGAAATCTATTTCCTGTCTCCTGCACCATCCTATCCCTGGCCCCACTAACCAGCCCAGCTGACCCAGAGAAACCGAGCGAGGGAAGCAGCAAGTTAAGAAAGTGTGGCCTGGAGAATGGACTGTACAGACTGGATGGCCTTGGAGGTCTTTCAGCCCACCTTCTATGGCTCAAGGAGTAATGGGGCAAGCGGAGGTCTATGCACTCCCCACCCCCTTTCTGCATGGCTGACCAAGCACAAACTCACTCCAGCTTTACACCAGAC